CCTTTTGTTACAGCAAGAACACCACTCTGTGGAAAATTCAATTTGAGATAAGAATTGGAAACTGTCAGAATGGAAACGATGCAGGAAATACTGTCCTGGGGAGCGATACAAAAAATACGGAAAGATATATATATATTTGCCTCTGTGGCAAATGGAGAGCAGCTGAAGAGGCTTATTCCAAGACCTGCTACAGAAAGAATGAATGGATGACAAAGAGAGAAGGAAGTTTTTGTAACACTTTTCTTCACTGGGAGTTCAGAAGGTTTGAGTATTCCTGTAACTGCAGATAAAAGATGAAAACACAACACTTCCTTGAAGTACATAGTTTAAAATACAGCTGCACCATCCCCAAAAGACAAGAACAAGGTGTTGACCTACCAACTAGGATGACACCTTTGAGAAAGGACTAAAATTAGCAGTGTGAATTTTAAATATTTGAAGCACTTGTTCAATGTGTCTTGATCAACATGAAAAAAATGTTCAACCTTTAAGAACCAACTGAAAAGAATCAAGCATCTCTCCTTGCAACTGGAGCTTAAAAATATTGTGTAGAAGGCATTATTAAAGCTTCAAGCACACTTATTTCATATAAGAAATCTCTAGGCACAGCTTACAATGACATTTCTCAGCATGACACCCTCATGCATTTCAAGAATCTAGAAGATGATTCATATTTAATGTGTTTATGGTACTGCACCAGGCAAAATCCTCCTTTTCCTGTCCCCTGAACAAAGACACTTGTAATTCAAATAGCAAGCACAGGGAACAGTTTCTAGTGGTAAAACTAGATCCCTTTCCTCCCTTCTGCTTTCCAGAAGAATAACAGAATTAGAAGCTTGAGAGAGCAGCTCAGGTTATGAACATCACAGCTCAGAATCCTGGAGTTCTATGAAATTATACTTGCCTCTTTGATATTCAGAGAGTGGGTAATACCTCTTTTGTCTGGATTAATTAATATGAGATATACATTTATTAACAAATCAATGAAAATCCAATCAGTAACATTCCATATTAATACTCTTAAAACTGTTCTGTAAATCACAAAACAAATTTCCAAATGGTAGAACTAGAAGTCTGCCCCTGCAAGGTCATCGCTGCTAGAAACAGCCCATCCTGCTCCTCAAAAAAAAAACCAGAGAAGTTAACTGCAGCAATATATATTTCTCACCTATAATGTGTTTTATGTGGAACAAAACTGCACAGCAAAATGATTAACAGAAATGCCTCAAGTAAGTTGAATTTCAGCCAGATACTACCTTAGTCTGTGTTTTGGAAGCAGAGAACAAACTGTGTTAACTATTACAGCAGTAGTAAAAAGCTCTCACCACTGCAGATCATTCCCTGTAACGTAATCCTCTCATTAGCAAGAGCAATCATAGCTGCAATTGACTTCTACATACAGTGTTGCTGATGTCATTTCAAAGTAGCCCTTCCTTTTAAAAACAAGAGCAAATGACATTACCTACAATGCTACCGAGACTGAACTAACATTTCCCTATCCTTTCCCCAAAAAGTGAGGTCTTGGAGCAAGCAAGAACTGACCTAAAAACATTTAAGAGAGAGAGACTTACCAAAACAGGGGAAAGATTTCAGCTACAGAAACACTAGGTTGCCAAAGTCATCTTTCCCCTTCACCCATCTGTACAGTGTCAGCTACTTGAAAACCTGCCTGTAGTCTGCTATTAAGGACTTGATTTATGCAAATGAATGGTAAATCTTGGTCTTTTAAAATATGTGTAAAATATATATTTATGTTTTCCTGTATAAGCGTGTAGACGTGCACAAAGCCCAGGCTGATTTTCCTCTCATTTTTCTGCTAAGAAATCAGAGCCCAGCCCAGCCAGACCTCTCCTTACCACAAGCAGCTGGGTGACAGGGTTGAAAACACGGTAGCAATTTGAAGACACTATAGCAGTTCTAAAAGAATTACAGCAAATAGTAAAACATGATACACCCTTTTATCTAGAAACATGGTACAGCTAGGCAAGAATGCAGCCAAAACACTTTCTCTTGAGAGAGGGAAGAGATTTGGGTGCAGAAGAAACACACAACCAACCTCAATGAAAAAGCAAAAGTGCTCCTGGGATTCTGGAAGTCAACTGAGAACACTCCTGCTCCAAGGCAGCTGTGTGCTGCGGGTACCAGCATCAGTTCAGAAGTGCCAAGTTCAAGATGGCTTGGAGGAGGAATCCTAATCAGCTACTACACAGTAGGAATTTGTGGGAGGGGGGATTATAACTATTAAACAATCCACTGACATCCACTGCAAATAGTAAATTCACCTCTCCTTGTACCTCCACCTACAACTTTTGTAGACACTGATGTCCTTTACTCTGTTCCTAAGAATTTGTCCTCAGCTTTAAAGAGCAAAAAAAGTCTAGCCTCAGATTTACCAGAAATACCCAGCTATCTGTCCACCCCTGGATTATAATGTATCTTATACATTTTTGAGATATCTCATACCTCCCAACACCAGAGGAAGGAGCAGGGACTGTTCTTTTCAGCTTTCTGCTGTCCTGATCATTTTGGAACATAGCCTACAGACCTGTTTTGGAGGTAAACATTTATCTAAGGTGCATGTATTTTCTTTATAGGATGTGGTGGAAGACAGGAGAAAAAAAACTAAAAAAAAAAAAGTTACATTAGATCTATCTATCTGATATCATTCATTGGCCAAAATGCTGAGGTTAAGCCTTCCCTGACGCCTACAGGCATCCATTCCCCTGTAACAGCACCAGTGACACTGCTTTGGGCCAGGGCTGACCTCTCCTTATGTGTGTACACAGCTCAACTCACTCTTCAACTGGCCTGGTCATCACAATTCTATGTTTATAAAAGACCAAGGTTCAATTGTTCTTGCCTTCACTGTAGTGGAAAGTGACATAAGCAATGAAAACAAACCTAAGTCTCTGGCGTGCTGGGTTTTTTTTTTGGTTTGATGGTTAGGAGTTTTTTTTAAGAAAATTTTTAACTTGGAAAACTGTAGTTGCTTGCACTTAATACTTCTGATCCCGATTGTAACAGCACTCAGAAACTTAACTGTCTCATCCCAACACTGATGGAAGGTCTCTGAAGCCACAGCTCAGTAAACAATTTAAACCAGCACAAACTGACAGCCACTGAGAGAAGCTAGCTCCACCTTTTCCAACTGTTCCTTCTTCCCTGCATTCCTCCTTTCCTGGTGCCACCAAAAGCATTTGTGCAGTGAACCCATGCGGGACAACTCCAGCCTGGAGCAGGTCCTCGATCCAACGCACTCGGCAAGCTCTTCTTTCAGCAGCTTTTGGTATCAGCTTAAAGTCTTTGTGAAACTACACTACCTCTGACACTGAAAAGTGTTCTTAATTGAATGCATAGGTCTCCTTTCAGTGTTAATAGAAAAATCACAACACTATTTTTTGAAGTTCTTTCAAGAAAATTGTGCTGCAGTTTAACCCAAAGCGCTAACAGATTCTTAGTTTTTTTAAAAGGAACCGGACTGGCTGTTAGCAGACACTAAATACCTGGAGGTAACAGACATTTAGTTCCATTCAAGTTTTTAAGTCTTTTCTGTTAGATACAGAATTAATTAGCAGTTCATGTCTATCTGTGGATTTAGAGTGTAACAGGGTTTACGGGATTTCTTTGTTCACTTTTTCAAGGTACATGTTTCTGCAGGATTTGGTTGCTGCTATATCCTGGAACCAAACCCATCATTAAGTATCTTGATTTTAGAAATATATGCCCAAATTATTTTTTTAATAAGTGATATAAAAATATCAAATCCTTTCAATATAATAAATAAAAACATCAAATTCTTTCGATGACTGAAGCTCCACTGTGCACAGTTAAATCCACAGGTTGTCTCAGAAGAGGTCTGGCAAAACATGAATGGTGAGCAGTGCTGTAAAGTTTCTCTGACAAGTCTACAATCACTTCAGTTTCTGATCAGGATTCCTGTACCATGCAAATCTGGGAAACATTCTCACACAAACATTTAATGCATATGAACTCATAGAGAGAAAAAAGAATAATGCAGCTACCTGAAACCTCACCTTAAATAGATACATTTTTCTCAAGCAACAATTTAAGGCCAATTAGGAAAGTGGATCATGACCTTGTAAGAAATACGGGGATCAAATTATGCAAAAAAACCCCACTTATCTAATGAAGAAAAATGCATCAATCATGAGCATGATCATTTTCCCTTTTTTTCCTCATTGGTCAGATGTTTACCAATATATACAAGTTACTGAAAAGAGTTCCAGATGCAAACCAGCACTAAGGCTAACCTCACAGATCAGAACTTTGCCCTTAAATCCTCTCTTTTATGTTCAATGAAGATCAATGACAGAGTCTAAAACATGACTGGGAGTAAGATAAAGATGAAGATAAAAAGGTCATGATTCATTTTTGTATGCTGTCAATTAGAAAAATAACTAATTTAAACTTATCAGTTTATAAAAGTGCCATCCTGACATATATTCTCACGCATCTGAGAATTTTGTAATACATTACAATAGAGAGCTACGTGTGAATGGAGTTCAAATACTAAGCTTCCTCAGGCTTATCAAAGAAAATATGACTTTTCTTTGTGCTTACAGTTTGGTAAAAGCTTCATGGCCCAAAATATGATCTCCCATTCCATTTTTTATTCAGGCTACGATTTGCTGTTTTACAGTCAGTCAGCATTAAGCCTTAGTTCCAAATAGGTATTTATTACCTCAGAAGGCAGAGTGCATTCTAGGAGTTAACAGGCCTGTGCTGGGTAATAACAGGAGAGCAAAACAAATAACTTCTTTTTTATGAAGATATATATGAAATACAGCAAGCATTAACATAGAATACCTGACAATTTAGATTACCCAGTTTAACTTGTATTACCCTAATTTCTCCTAGAATGAACTCTGTTGCTTCTCCACAAGCTCTTTTTTTTACAATCAAAACTTTGCCAGCACTGTTCATGTTGGCCAGAACGTTACAGACCTCAACAAAGCGACTGAATAAATGAGAATGCTTACCAGCAGCAACTACAGCTGGAGGCGGCGAACCTGCCTCGCCACCACTTGTTTGGCTCATGGATGCTACAGATGTTTCTCTGGAAGGTGGTAACTGCAGCTCCTTTGGGAGAAGGTCATAGACAGATTCTGTTGAACAAAAAAGGATTTAATCAAAAACACATTCATGTTCTGTAAGAGAAAAGAAACAAAGTTTCTGCCTAAAAGATATGAACTGTAATCCAACCTTTTCAGGACCTTTTGAAAAAGTTACAGTAAGTGCTTACAGATCTTAACATCATGGAATAAAGTTATTTCAGAAAACAAACAAACCATGAAAACATCAAGATACACATTCTCAAGACCAAAACAAAAGGACACAAACTTGTTCAAACAAAGAAATAATTCATGAACTTCCAGAGAAGCTGTACTCATTTGGAATGAAGGGGCTGACAGCATATACAACAACAAATGTGGGAATCAAAGACAAACCTGTTCTCAGAATTCAAACTGTGCAACTGATTTCCAGAGAGCCAAATTTAGTGTCATCATCTGCACAACAGCCTATAAAGTCTTCCCATGTAATAAGTGTCAATTCTGTTATGTAAGACCCTTTATTTACATTTATCTGCAACATTTCTTTTTGCCTCAAACCCTCCTGTAAACTCACGCAGAGGTTCCAGCAAAAGCAATCTCCATCTGCAAAATGGCTAGTGCTGGTCCATTGTACGTGGCTAGTCCCCTTTGGTACAACTAGGTCATGATCCTCTGCAGTAGTACAACCTTCAAGAAAATTTTTGTGACTTCCCTGTTGTGAACTAGCTGTGGCCACCAAACAGCTCATCTGACCAGGCTTCAGCAGCCAAGACAGAAGACGGGAACTCAACAGCCCCACGCTCAACCTGCTCCTCCGCGCTCGCTGGAGGTTCAAAGCAAGTCCGTGCCTCCTGGCTACCACTGTATGAACAGCTATAAACCCAGTCAACAATTCTACACCACAAAACTTTATGGAATCCCTTTATATGTATTATTTAGGTGCCCAAGACAGATACGGAAAACCCAATGCGCATTTTTAAAGTTCTTTCTTTTCCCTATGAAATAACAATTATACTCGATCCTTAAGTAAAATATATCTGAGCAGCAACACTGAAAAAAATAGAAAACCCACAAAGTTGTTAACTAAAAAGCTTTATCCACATTAGGCCCTGTAATAAATGAAACATACTCAAGACAAATGCAAAGCTATATACGCTCCCAGCGATATATAACTGTACTAAAAATGTAATACATACCAAATGCCAGTTATGCCACAAACCAGAACAGTTACCATACCAGGTAAGAGTGCAAATACTCTCACCACAAAATGGCATTAAAAGTGTCTAAGAAAATTTTAATGTCTTTTACAGGATACTACTTGTCTGTTAGGCACCAAAATCACAAGCAACTACCAACAATGGCTGCAAACTGGCGGTGAGGCCTAACCTGAGGTAGCTCCACAGACCAAACTGATCCCCATCTGTTGCAAGATATTTTTTAATTTACTTCTTTATTATAGCTATACTCACTTTTCAGAGAAATAACTTTTCAGTAACATGACAAAACCAGAACTTTTTTATTATTTAAACTGATAATCAAATTATCAGCAACCTGAGGTTGCAATCCAAATCCCAAAATCTCTGCAGAGGTTTTCTGTAAGGGTTACCCATAATACTGAGACAACGTACACGTAAAATATTTTAAGACAGCTCAAGTTACCTAACCATAAATTCCTAGTTTTATTCTTTGGAACAATCTCGGGGGGCAATATTTATCTGTGCTTACTCGAGATCTTAAAAGTTATAAAAGGCAAAGAGAACAAGACACATTTGTTCATACTTTTGCTCCTGTTTTATTACGGGGAACGTGTTTTACGATGAGGAACGCCACATTAGCATTTACCTCAAAGATGAGTTCCCTTTGTAGAATTAACTTTTTCCTCAGCTAGTAAAGCCTGATTTCTCACTCTTCTGGACTAGCGATTTTCAAGACCATAAAACCGGGTTTCAAAGTAAAATAAATTAGACCAGTTTAAAATTGGTCATGTAAAAATATGGTTACAATTATGCTTCTCCTTTTATACTTCATTTACCATTCCCCAAAAAAGGTTAGTTCTTTTTCAGTGATAATGTATTACACTTTATTAAGCAGCAGTATTGTGTACTTTTTGTGTGTATGAGCACTTATGTAGTTTAAACATACTCTAAATTTTAGCCTTTCTTTAAAAAGGCAAATCATTCCTTTATTTATCTTACAATTTTTATTGAAGTTGAATGTGCATACAGACTTGAATCCAATTCCAAAACCAAAAACCAAACTAAATTGCATTTATAGTCGTTATTAGCCAAATACCATCTCCTTGTGACTGCTGTGCCAATGAGGCGGGAGAAAAGGGCTATCAAAGCACAGTTCTATTTTAAAGTCAAGTCCTGGCTGGATCATCAATTGAAGAAGAGCAGAGAGGTTGTGCATTACCTGGCTTGAAAACAGGAGCACATTTGAACTAACAGCATTTCAGACTCCATGCAGTTGTGTTCACAGCTTTAACAACAGGGAGGACAGTGCAAAATCCAGAACTGAGAAGCCAAGAAGCCCAGTTATTACTTCAAATAGTCACTGTCAGGCAGTTTCTGCACTGACACTATAAGGACAACACAATTTATCAACCTCTCCTATGGAAAATTATGCCCATTCAGCTTTGTTGCTATAAAGTGATTTTTAGTTCAAAGTGTACCCTACACCATATTCTTGCTACTAAGAAACTCAGACGCTCCGATGTGCCAGAGCTGGGAAGGCTGTCGCCTCTAGAGGAGTAGTAGCAAGATTTAAAGCTGCCGCAGTCACTTGACAAGCAGCTCTGCATATGCTGAATATTCTTTTACACCTAAGACACTGGAAACAACTCACCCAGTATTTCTGTTCTGCAAAATGTTTAGTGATGAGCCACCAAATGAGGGATCAGTAACAAAGCATATGTGTGTGTATGCAGGTAAGTAGAGAAGCCTTTGTATTTTGATGTGTATATTGCATTTATATACATACATTTTCATTCCTTTCTGTTGTCTCTCGAGAAATCCTCTTTGAGGAGAGAGCTGCTCATCATCATAATTCTGTCATGACTCATAAGATATTTGGTCCTGATTACAAAGCCTCATTTCCAAAAGCTAAGTTATTAGGTAAGAGTGAGTTTTTCCTCTTTGCGTTGGTTGTTGGCGTTTTTTTGTTTAAGAAATTTATTTTTAACTCTCAAACGTGACGGAGGTTCTGTCAAGTTTGCTGCTTTAAAGGAATGCTCAAACCCAAAACTCCCACAGCATATTTTTTCTCAGGGAACACATAATTTTAGCAGTAATCCACAACAAGCACAATTATAACCTTTGAATAACTCTAAAAATATGATAAAGGGGGGGGAAGCTAGCATTAAAATTGAAGTGCATTCCCAAAGATCACAAGACCATTAAGGGCAAATCTTTAAAGATCAAACTACTGGAAATGTGTTCTAAAATACAACACCCAGTTTTTATCCCGATACACTTGGATACCACACCTAAAATTGAAGATACGTCCTACACTCAGAAAAAAAGCTGGCATTAACTTTGACAGCTGTAAATGTGAGAGGACGGAGCAAGCTATTAGGAGGGAAGGGAACACTGCTATTGGGAAGTCACTGTGAGGTGCAGGCAAGAGAACACAAACGTGGTGGAAGAGGAGAACAGCCCCATGAAGCTTCAAAACACATAGTACAGTCCTGGCCACCTTCAACGCCTCCTCTGCCTCCCTGGTTCTTCCAGGCCTGTCTCCCCATAACTTTCCTCCCGTCACAGCAGTAGGAGAAATACGGCACAAGAACATCCCAGATAGGAGTGAGGGAAAACATGGGAGGTCTACTGGGTAGCACACAAGAAGGAAAACAGATCAAAACCATGGGATTAAAACAGAACAGGAAAGACATGGACCTGTTGGAATGGGTCCAGAGGAAGCCACAAAAAACAGTGCTGAAGCACTTCTTCTATGAGGGCAGGCTGAGAGAGTTGGAGTTGTCCAACCTGGAGAAGAGAAGGCTCCAGGGAGACCTTAAAGGGGGCCTACAGGAAAGATGGGAACAGACTTTTCAGCAGGGCCTGTTGCGATAGGACAAGGGGTAACGCTTTTAAACTAAAAGATGGTACATTCAGACTAGACAAGGAAGAAAATTTTTTTACAATGAGGGTGATGAAACACTGGAGGTGGTAAATGCCCCATGCACGGAAACACTGAAGGTCAGGTTGGACAGGGCTCTGAGCATCCTGATCTAGTTGAAGATGTCCCTGCTCATGGCAGGGGGGTTGGACTAGATGGCCTTTAAAGGTCCCTTCCAACCCAAGCTGTTCCATGATTCTATGAACACTTGGCAGTCAAATCCAAACTTTAAAAAAAGCCAACAAACCAACTCCTGGCTTTGCTTCAGAACAGATGTAGCTTCATATTCTAAAACACATCTTTAGTGAACTGGATTGCTAGGATCTATCATTTCAACACTTCTCTGAGGAACCTAAAACTGTTTAGGTACCTTTAAGAAAGCTTGCTGCAACAAACCTGCTCTTCACAAATCAGACTTCAAATGAAACTTTGTGTTTTCACCTAAACACGGGCCAATGTTTATATATGCTGCACTATAAATAGCATTAAAGCAAAAACTGACAAATCCCAGAAAGATCAGAGTTGTTGCAAGGAAACTAATTCCTCCCCAGAGGATATAGTTTCCATCCGCATCTGATATCATATTGAAATAGCTAAAGGTCCCTCCCCTATAGATCAGCCCACCTCCATCACCATGTTTTACACACGTGTGCACACATGCACACACACTGAGTATATGAAATTTTCTGTTACAATTTTATGTTTATTCATATGGAAAACACCCATGAAAAAGAAAAGGCTGTTACGTAAATGCAGTGTTACATTTGAAGGCAAAAATATAATTTCAGTATCATTACGTGTTTCTACCTAATTCCCAAGAAAAAACATGTAGACACAATTCCTGTTTTTAGCAGCCACTGCGTGGAATCAATAAGCCAAGTTTCAGCTGGCTGAGAGCACAAAGTCTCTTATAACTTATTGCTGACTTCAAATCC